ATGACAGCAGAGTGTGAGTGCACAAAAAAAAAAAAAAAACTTCTTTAAGACTTTCCGAGAACACCTCCTGAGACTGACTGGAAAAAAGCAATTATTAAAAAAAAAATAAGTAAACAAAAGGACTAGCATTTCTTAAAGGAACGCATATTGCCTACCACCTTGTGCCAGAATTTTTAACTAAAGCCATCTTCTGGTGGGAAATGACAGCCGTTTTAGTCAACCCTCAAAAGAAACATTATGTGCAGTTTCATAGGAGATTGTGAGATCTTGCATGTTAGCATTTGGCGTGTGTTAAGGAAGACTCTCAGCTACTAAGACGCCAAATTTTAGCTCAATATCTGTAACATCAACTAAAATAAAACCATCTATGTTTAAGATAAAGGTAAAAAAGATGGTAGCCATTTTGAATATAGGGTGAGTTTAAAAGTTTTTAAAAAGTTGTAGAAGTCAACCTAATGATTACTTTTGGAAGGTTTCATTAACATATGTCAACTGATATGTCAGATATTTTGCAAACAAATAGACAGAAAATATTTATTTAGTTATCTTCAGTGTTTTACCACAAATCATGAGCAGTCAGGGACTATAAGTGGGGTACTCTGAACTACGGTACTAACGTTAAAGTTTTGCTCGATGTCTTTAAAATCGACTGAAGTACCGTACTTTACGGACTATAAGGTGCATTAGGCGAAACAAAACACAAGTCAAATTTTATTCAGCTCATTCACAATAACTACATAAAATCAGTTCAAGGTCAATAAGCACAACCAGAATTAATACATAAGGCACACCTGATTATAAGGCTCACTGTCGATTTTTGAGAAACAAAGGATTTTAATGCACCTTATAGTCTGAAAAATACGTGTGTGCATTTTCTAAGATCAGTTGACCGTGACAACCTTCTTGATCTAGATTAAAGTAACTCAGTTGTAGAGTAGATGTGAACTCACTGATGCTTTTCTATGAGTTTCGTCAAAATCCACTGTGGTTCATGAAATATTTTGCTAACAATCATGGTTACCATCCATTATTTTTTACTCACTTCTTCCTTTTTTGGGTCGCGGGGGTCATTGGTGCCCATACCCAGCAGTCACTGTGCAAACGACAGGGGACACCCTGGACATGTCTCCAGTCCTTCACAGGGCCACATAGAGACAAATGAGACACACAACCATTCACTCTCTCACTCCACCCACTGCTGGGATTTGATCCAACAGCTCTACCAACTGCGCCACCGTGCCACCAAAAACAAGGTTGGTGCCAACAGGTTTTTGGTCTATTGTCAGTTTTTGGGGGGTGATAAAGACTCGGTGTACTTTTCACCGTGCAAATGTGTGAGAAACTAAACAAATTCAGATCCAAATACATATTTTCAGTAATTTGCCAAATGAGTATAATTGAAATTTGTACCAGGATTGCCAAAAGGAGATTAGATGAAATGGTGCCAAATGTCAAGGGAAAACATCCAATTTTCCATTTCAAAACCTGGAAAATGATTATATAGGCCAGCTGAAAGCTGTAACATATTCGATGATAGAGAGAAATTAAAATGCTTGAGAGTACAGACTCATAACAATTATCCATAAATGTGTTACACATATAAGAAACGGTTAAGAATGCGTAACTGAAAACATCAAGGACACATTTGGGGCATGGAACTGTGCCAGTCGTTTATTTAAGACGAGCAAGTGAGAGACGAAGGTGTCTGACCCTGAATACCAATGCAGCTGTAAGAAAAGCAAGTAGAGAAGATAAATAAGGATTGTTATTGTGAACAGTCGAGATAAGAGGAAGCTTATGAATGCTACGAGAGAGCTGAATATTGCACCTTCAGATGTGAGCATTTATCATTAAGACGGCCGCTGGTCGAGTGGTTGTCAGGACTCAATACATAAAGATAAGAAGACGCAGGGTGCAATCTGAAATCTTAGAGACAAAACTGTGAGGCAGGTGTTTGTCTGTCGAGCCCGGGCTCATTTAAGATGTTTCAGCAGTGGTGCTTCCAGACTTTATTTAATTATGTGGCCATGTGGAGTCCCCTGAAAATCCTGGGGCGGCAAAACAAAACCAAAAGCCAGAACAGAATTTCAAGAAGTTAATGATGATGTCATTTTTTTATTATTATTAGTCAACCTTTATTTATACAGGTTATTCTCATTGAGCCACGAGGTTATACAATGTGACAAATACAGAAATATGTCAATCACCTTCAAATATGTATTTTTTTTTCTATTTACAGTTAATATAATTTATTGAGAAAAGCACTGTTACTACTTATTAGGAGTTTGTACTCTCCTAAATTTATATATATTTATATTTATATATATATATATTATGCCTATAACCTCCTGAGACTCTGTATCCTAATGTTGATGAAATTGGTTTTAGACCTGTTGGCCCTATTCACTGGAATTACATTTTAAGTTTATTTTTTGTTTTAAATTAAATTATACTTTTAACTCCCTTTGTTTTTATGTCTTTCGTCTTTCCGGTGAACTATTTTGATGCAAGACTATCAAGAAGGAGTGCAGCACGGTGGCTCAGTTGGTAGAGCTGCCGCCTCTCTGTGAAAAGATCGCCGGCTCAAATCCCACCTTTCTGGGTGGAGTTTGCATGTTCTCTCCGTGCATGCGTGGGTTTTCTCATGGTACTCCGGTTTCCTCCCACAGACCAAAAACGTGCATGTTAGGCTGATTGGTAACTCTAAGTTGTCCCTAGATGCGAGTGCAAGAGCTTTGGTTGTTTGTCTCGTTTGTCTCTGTGTCCCTGTGATGGACTGGAGACCTGTCCAGGGTGTCCCCCACCTCTCGAACAGACGTGGGCACCGTAAAGGAAGTAGCACGTAAAAATAAGGATGGATGGACGGACTGACTATCAAGAATCTTTCAGATTGGAGGAAGTGGAAATAGAGCAAATTATGCAACTTATTATGAAAAATGAAATAATGCAATGTTTAAAACACCACTTTACCTGCTGCTTTCATAAAAGTACCTTTTTTTTTTAAAAAAAAAAAGTGATGTAATTTCTTACTTTACGTTTCATTATGAGTTTCATTCAAGTTAGAGAGAAAATCCTTAAACTCTGTCGTTGACATTTGTCACAACTTCTTCAGAGTTGAACATCATATATATATATAATTTTTTTTAATAGGAACGAGAAATGATTAAATCACAGATAGAGAGTAATTCCATCAGTCCAGTTTGCAGTCTTTTCCCAGAAGCACTAAAGGGTTGCCAGCCTCATCACCATACAGCTGTACAGCTGTTGTTGCCTAACACAATTATACATCTGTGGTCTTATTTTCTCATATCTGTGGGATTTTCCCCACCATGAATTCAGGATACCAGTAGTATAATTGTTCAAATACCATTTTAAAGCTTAATGAGCCCAAAGAAAGGTTTTTCTGGGACATTTAAAAACAAAGGTGACATCCATCTGTGGATAATGGTCCTTACTGGACCTCAGAACTCATTGAGGCTTCTTTTTAAACCCATCCATTCTCATTTATTGGTTGTGATGTGCAATCATCCACATTCTAAACCCCAGAGTACTTGTAACACCATGCATCATCCACATTTGTAGTTATTTCTTGATATTTCTTCAAGACTGTCTTTTAAGACCCCTCGAAGAAAAACATGCATCATAGAAATCTGGCAAAGGTAAAGATTCAACTCAAACTGAACTCTGCATTTCTGCAGCAACGTTGTCCGAGTTTTACACAAGTCCTTTAGGTGCATGAAGAGAATTCAAGGAAACTACACTGAAATAATGAACACTTGATTTATTGAGGAAAAATATAATCCACTGGGCCAATATACCAAACATCTAGTGGCAACATGACGAAAACGTTTCGTATCTGAACTGTCACAGCAGTGATCACTACAAGAACAAACACCTGTCGTGGTGTAAATCTGCAGAGAAAACTGGGAAATGATTGAACCCTGCAGGCTCACAGTAGCTAAATATTTAAGTTGTGCATGTCCGTGTGTAATCAGCAATTATACTTAAGATTGCAGAAATTAGGTTCTTAGCTTCTGACTTTGGTGGATTGACAATCTGGATATACTTTTAGTTGATTTTATCATTGATTTTAGTTGCACTTTGTAGCACTTTCAGATTTTTGTTAATGAGAAGTGTGTTACAAATTAAATTCATTATTATGATTATTATTACTTCAGTCAATGCGCAGAACTTTACCACGTCTCTGTGAAGACGTTTACATCATCACAAACTGTTCAGTGCAGCTCTTGGTCACTTTTCTCTCACAGTTTTGATCGTCTTTGTTGCTGAATCACGTCAAACAGAATCACCAGACTACTAAACTATGTTTTCAAAATCATACAAATATACACTCGCATCACTTTTGAGTAATAAGATGGAAATAAAAGCATGTTTATTTTAAATGTTGCAAAAATCCACTTCGACACTACTGACTTTATTTAAAATAACTCATTTGGGGTCAGGATTTATTCAAATCTACTGAAAACAAATATCTGTAAACTGCACTTTCTTGTCACAGATTAACAAAAACAGCAGCTTCCTGTGATATGTTCGAACATATCTAATAAACAAAAGGATTTACTGCATTAAAGGTGTCACATCTGTGCAGACTGCCCACTTTCCACACACAAAGACAACGAGAATGTTAGTCTTAGTAAAAAATGTTACCATTACTAAGCACTATATAACTTTTATTTAAATTCTGGAGGTTTTGTCCTGTTAAAAGGTAGTTTTCTTTTCCACCGTTGAATGGGAGACTGAGACAAAGTGAAGACTCATCGTAATCTCCTGTAATCTGCTGTAATCTGCTGGCTTCCTTAGATAGAGAACTTTTACTACTGTAAGTGTCTTTTTGTTCAGTACCCTGAGACAACTTCTGTTGTGGCTTGGTGATCTATAAATAAAACTGAACTGTGCTCATTTATTTTAAAACTATGAAAATACTCCCTGTTAAATAAATTAAGGTAATAAATACATAAATAAATAGTACAGCGTTGCTTTTCAACCCACATAGTTTCTTTATTGAATTAAGTACCAGCTCAATATAATCAACCACCAGAGAAGTGAAGACAAACTTAAACTCAAATAGTATAAAACCTTGACAGAAAAGCACTTTTCTTTAATCAAACCACCTGCTGAACAAACTTTGAGCCATTTCTGCCTCACTGTCCGGGAGCAGACAGACTTTTGTTCATGAACTGCCTCTTGACGAAGCACAGCCACCACTGAAACAAAAAGTAGCATCTGTTAACACAAACCATGTGATGGAAACGTTTTAAAAACAACAACCAATAAATACATTTAAAAAAACTGAACACCACCTTCGCAGCTTAGTCACAACTCAAAGCGTTTAGATTATTAAATGTTATAGAGTAGACAAACTGGTGCAACCTATACGACCTTTATAATTATAAAGCCATGTAGAATTCAGAGTTTACACATTATTCAAAAACAAATTAAAGTATCTTGTTAAACTTGGTGTTGATGCTTTTGAAGGTTTTGCAGATTTGCAATCCGTCTTTCAGATTTGTTGCGTGATGGAACGGTGATTTCTTTTTTTCTGAACTCAACTTTAATAACACTGAAAGAGTTTCCTGTGTGGAACTCAAGGTTACACAAAAAGCGAAGACAATATAGCGTTTGGCATCTTCTGCTGAATTTTCAAACATGCTGCTAGTTTAAACAAGTTGCTTCTGTTAACTTTGCAGGCGAAGTTGTTGAGTTTCAAACTTTTAGAAGACATTTTTAACATTTTTCTTTCTGGATGAAAGAACTGCTTTAAGGACTTACCTTGCTGGGTTTGTCAGTCTGGGGGTCAAACACACGATCGCAAAGCCTCAAACCCGTCTCCTGACGGAGCTGCTGCAGGTACGCCCTCATGGTCTCTGAAATTAAATTAAAAGAGCGGATGACCACGAAAGTTACAAACTGATGTTTAACTGTGCTGCTACTGTGAGAAATACTACGAGCAGAATATTTTTATTTATCGTTGCGACATTTTGTCAACAGCTTTAATTGCAATACGGTAGTGCCTCGTTTATAGCGGGGGATCTGTACCCTGAAGCCCCAGCATAAGTGTAAAACTGCAAAGTAGGAATAGTAGAACAACTAGTACTTATATATATATATAGGCATTTTAAACCCTTCCCACACTATTGCAATATTCTAAACATTGTTTTTAAACTTTTTTGTGTGTTTTGGTGTGCGTTTCTAAACTCTAAACACTCTAAGAGCACAGAGTGTCATTATTTCCCTCTCTGTGCCTCCGCTGCTCTCAGCCACCTGCAAGCGTTTTTGGCCACGCCCACTTCTCCACTCTGCTCAGAGAACAGCTGATCAGCTGCAGGAGGAATCTTATCCTGCAGCTGTGGGCGGCACAAAGTTGCAGCAGGTGCTAAATAATTTAAAGTAATTTACTGTAAATAAAATGTCCATGCCGATCGTGCGGCTCATCCATCGATCAGCCAACTGAGTGTCATGTTCAATCTTATTTTGAAAAACCACGATGGAGCGAGTCCACGAAAAACGAACCGCGACGTAGCGAGAGAATCCTGTATATTAGAAATATTCAATGAAAAGGTGGGATTTATTATACAGATGTGGATTCTAACTTTAATTTAACCACAGGACTGACACTGAAACAAACAAACAAACAAAAAAAACAATTAAGACCAGCATAAAACATGACTTTCATCACTTGCCTTTAAAGCTCATGAGGTTATTAGTGCAGGTATATATGTTATAGTTACAGTTATAGCTACTGATCTGGATCAATATGGTGACTGCGAGACCTAATTTGGACCTTGCTGTTATTCTACTTATTTTTATCTTCCTTAACATGACAAACAGGCAGTCTCCTAATGCTGAATCTCACCTTCCTCCTGCTTGTTTGTGGGCTTAACATACATGGCATTAAGAGGAAATCCAGGTTCTCCAGGAATGGGGAAATTTGTAATACCCAGAGTGTACATCTCCTTCTCTCCCTGGCCCCTGGAGCTGCACTGCAAACAAAACATAATCCAATAAATCATTTCAGGTGAGTTTTATGTGCACCAAATTTATATTAAAAACAATATATTCAACAAACTACCCCTTCCATATAATTGACACTATACTCGTTAAAGCCCATCAGTTCAGCAATGTTTCCTCAGCCTTTTATTGGGACATTATTACTTCTTTAAATGATGCCAAGTGCTCACAGCTGTTAATACGTTAGTCAAAAAATGTATTCCATTCACCTTCTGTAGCTTCTTCAGGCATTCAGAAATGTACAGCGTGATATAGATCAGTGTCCTGTCTGCCTCATTCTGAAAGAAACACAATCACATTATTAAAGAAAAAAACTATTTCATCTTCAACACTGACCATATTGTGATTCTGGAAAAAAAAAATACAGAGTAAATCCAGGCAACTATGAGAGGACTGTGTTGAGAGGAACGGGAAGCAGCAAGTCAGGGCATGTGGAGGAAAATAAAGCGCATAGCTGCCACAAGAGCAAGAGAAAAAAGGAAGAACGTGCACAAAATCAACTACATGAAAAAGATATGTTTAGTTATTTTTAGTTGAATGACTTGATCAAGCAATTACCCATTTATAACTTAACATTTAAATAACCTTTTATTCGCTTTCTTAATTAGGAAATCATTGAGTTTTGCACAAATGTTCAACTTCTTGTAAGCATTTTGTGATCTTACCTTGATTTCATAGTTCTTAAAGAAAACATTGGCCTTGAAGTAGTAGATAGCTTCATCGATTATATCAGAATCAATACCTGAAAATAAGAAAAAATATGTATATACATTTCAAGGCAAGTTTATTTAAATAGCACCATTTGTACACAGTGCTTTACAGAAGCAGAAAAACATGTTACAAAAACTACATTTACAAAAGAAAAGAAATAAATGCACGTTAAAACATAACATTATAAACTACTAAAACTAAAAAGCATGAACCAGTTTTTCAGGGCCCTGTTTAGGCAGGAATCTGTTCATTCTTGCAATTTTTTTGCTAATTTAGTTCAAAGCTTGACGTGATTGTCAAAATTAAAGTCCGAGTCTGTAACTACACCCTGTTTTTCAGCGTGCTTTTAAATTTTAAGGTAGCAAAGATCCAGTTGAATGTCCATCTCTTGGACTTATTTTTTTATTTGGACCAAAACGACGACTTCTGTTTGTCTGCGCTGACTCATTGATGCTGTGGTCATACTATGTGGTGACGCAAATACATGGTGTCATGATACGCCATTACAATGTGTCGGTCAGAAAGAATGTAATTTCCTATTTTTTTTAATTATCATCCATCTTCAGTACTGATATGTCTTACTTTGAAGTTCTCATATCTGAGCTGCTGTTCAACTTATTAACCATCTATAAACAATTCAAACTTACAGTCACGTGCTGAATTAATAATCTTGTGAGGGTTTTTATTTGTAAAACGTTAATGATACTGTGTAAACCTAAGGGAAGTTAAGACTGTAGGATGCACTCTTCAGACCATATAAGGAAGTGAAGCTCAGTTGTGTATAAGGAACTGAGACATGCCACAACAACCCACAGAGGTGCACAAAAACCATCTTAAAATAAGGAATCTGCTAGCTACATTTGGTATAATTAAAAGTATCAGAATAAACGCTCACCGTCTCCTCTGGCAGGTCCTTTAAACTGAGTTTTAACGGGGAGCAAGGCCATATTCCCCACCAGCCTTGTATCGGGGACCATCAAGTTTGAGTGATAAGCCTTAAAAAAACAATAATAATTGCTGTCACTTTTATTCTAGCAAGTATATTTCGGTTAGTTAGCAAAACCATAGCTTTACAGCTTAGTGATGGAAACCGTTTACCAAGTACTGCATGTCAACATTGCTATAAAAGTGGGATTTAACCATTTAACTAGTCAAATATTGCTAAATAAGATGCTAACACAGCTAGCCAACTATGCTATTTGTCTTCGCAGCTAACGTTATGAGCGGAAGCGTATTCACGACTCAATTAAAACATTTGGCTCTACGTTGTAAAATATAACCTTATTCTAGCCAATTATCGTGTAGCATGTACTCACCGGCATATTGAATGAAATAAATCAATCCAAGTGCTCAGCAAGAGAAATTCACAAGCACCTTCAGACGCCGCTTCCGCCTGTCCCACCCCGCAGCTTACAGGAAGTGGCCACGCGTCATGTGACATAGCAGCCGGTAGGGGGCGCTAATAGCTCATTTTCCCGCCATACCATTAACAAACGAAGACTTGCCTTTACTCCAAGTTTTATTTAATAAAATAGAACATTAGAAAATATTTGTAATTGCAATATTTTAAAATTCTACATTGTTCAAAAGTAATAAAAGGTAAACACACAAACGTCTGAATTATATAACGTCAACATAATATAACGGCGCAGTCAGTCTAATGCGAGTGCTGGCAAAATGAGTCAGAATGAGCACTTTGATTTATTTTTGCAGTAATTCAGGTTCCCATAAAAGTTAGTTAATCTAGCAATTCCAGTAAGTACAACATATAATCAAGTTTTTGTTTTACAACACTTATAATTATCTTTTAAATTTACCTTTTTCCTTGCTGGGAAATCCTTTTGTACATCATGCATGCTTTAAATATATATTTTTTAATCTATCCAGAGGACCTGACTTAACTTTGTTAGACCATTTGTATAATGTTTGGCATTATTATGAAGCTTAAGCATTTTACTTTTTAAATACAGTGTTGGAATTTCCAATGATATCAGTAAAATATAATCAAGTTTTCAAACCGGCACGCTCGTAAACAAAATTAGCTTGTTGTCAGACCAGGTGATAAATCTCAAAGTTTTAACAAAATACATATCATTTTGAAGCTTTTGAGATGGATATTTTGAAAATAAATATTGGGAAAATTCCTCATTTTGCCAGCACAGGTCACACATTTTGTTTCATCAGCAGCCATGCAGAGAAATGCAGATCTCCAGTTGAACGTCTTCCAAAGCCTTGGCATGCTCATGATGTTTTCCCTGCTACTCCACAATCCCATTACTCCTCAGCTGGCGGCTGTATCTTGAAATATCTCATCATAATTTAAGTTTGCTGGCTCTTCCTCAACATCCTGTAGACAAAAAATAAAAATAAATGAAAACAACCACGTAAATACAGAATATATGTGAATTTAAGTTATATTTAGTTCAGTATGTTTCTTCACCTTAGGCTCCTTGAACTCCAGGTCCTCCCCATACTGTATGGAGAAGTCGATGTGCTGTAGAACTATGTTAATACCTTCATCATCTGTGCGATCAAACGGCAGGAATCTTACCATACTGTAGTCATCTATCTACATAGACAAAACAGAAATTATGTCAGATTTACAAATTTGAAATTTATCATTGAAAATCGAATCCAGAACTTCACTGACCAAACCACAAATGGCTTTGGTAAGCTTCTTGAACTGTGCGCTTCTGAAACTCTCTGAATTATCTTCCATCATTGAGTACATGTCTGGGTCCAGGTACCTTGCGAAAAAATAAAAGTAAAATGTTAAACTTTCTTATTAAACAAGATTTGGAAAGCACAAAAATGGAGGTTCAGAACTGTATTTGGTTACAGAGCTGAAGACTTGTGCTATAATTTTTTTGTACACAAAACATGTCATCTTTAAATTGTTTACATGGCTCTAAGTGCAAATATTCAGATTATATTGGATCAGGTTTCACATCATTGTTTGATAAAAAAAACCATACTTTGCTGCTGTAACCATGTATGACTTACTTTTCAATTTCTTTCTTTGCTTTGGGACTGAGCATGTCCATTTTCGTCATGATGTTTACTTGAGGAATTTCTAATGAAACCATGGCGCTCAGGGCAGCCATGACTCCAGAAATAAACTACAGTTGGGAAAAAAAAAAGCAAAAGATGAGTGCACTTCAATTTAAAATGTACCTGAAGAAAATGACATAAATCAGCAACGAAAAGATTATTACCTTAAAAGACTCCACCATGAACTGTGAGTCTACTAAAAAGACCCCGCAAACCCGAAACTCCCACTGCTGGAGCTGCTCCACGAGCTGCCTCATGACAGGGAGGTGTGTGTAAAGTTCAATCTGACCTTTAAAAAAAAAAAGATGTGTCAAAACAGCTGTGTTACTCACATTACAGCCACTTTTTCAAACAGAAGACCTAACTCTAAATGTGATCTATTCTGTACCAATAATGTAAATCAAATGATCTGAGAACAGATTAGATTCCAGCACCCATTAAATCTTGACTCCTCACTGTAATTGGCTCCAGCACACCTTTACCAGAACATTTACCTGGACAGTCGAATAATATGTAGTCATCTTCCACATGTCCCAGGCTTTCTTCCAGCCAGTCAAAGTTGTTGGCAAAGTACTCCATGCAGAAGACCAGACCCCCGTTAGGGCCAAACCTTAGAGAGTCATCCTCCATCACATCATCAACTTGGATGAGCTCACGGATGTCTGACAAAACAGATGCAGAATTATGTTAGCTTTGGTTTACCAGTCGTATACAAATAATAGCATACATACTGACAGATAAACACACTTGTTTTTAAATAAACAATAGCAAACTCAGATATATAAATTACTTGATCTATTTAAACAACTTGAATATATTTTTACCAGTGGGAGACTTTCTTTACAGAAGCCTCTCTGTCAATACTATGCTATCATGAATAAAAAATATACCCACCTGCCATCACAGGATAGTTAAAATGTTCAGCTGCTGGGTCCAAATTGACCACCTGGACTGAGCGGTTTATCGTTTCTGCATGTTGGACCATGGTGGAGCAGTAGGTACTCTAATAAATTGTAAATAAAAACAATAAGAAAAAAAAAAAAGAATAAATGCAGGTACACGTTTAGCTGAAGACGAGCCTAATCATGATGTCTCAGCACACAACACATTAGCCATTAGCCGCACATTTTAGCATCCTACCACGTACAGCGTCATAGCTTACCTTACCGCTACCCGCCGGGCCCATTACGAGTTGCGCGTAACGAGGCATTTTACCTCGTTTAAAAAGTGTCGAACTTAATTTTATTTAGTTAGCTTGCAACACTTAAAGACATGCATTACTTTATTAATGCGTACTGACGTGTGTTTTCTTCTTCGAAACTACATCTCGTTGAATGTCTCACTCAATGCTGCCACCTGCCGACGGGGGTTGGTAATTACATCTTACTGTCTTTTTTACTACTGCCACCTACCGACCGGAGTGTGAATCACTGAAATCAGAACAATGCAAACACAATGACTGGACAATATGGATTATGTGTATTCCAACATGACTAAATAGGTTAGTCAATATTACTTTACAAAGTGTTTTGAAAAGCTATAATTTAAAA